AGAGTAGCCACTCCCCTGACCCCCTTGGCCCAGGTACCTCAAGAGGAAGACGACCAGGAGGCGGAGGTCACCACCATGATCCTGGAGGACGACTCTTGGGTACAGGAAAGCTGTGCTGCAGGAGGATGGCCCCGAGTCCGAGCCCTTTCCCCAGAACGCCGGCAAGGGCAGCCCCGGAGAGGAGGTGGCTGGAGGGCCGCAGAGTGCGCTGGGCCGCCTCCGAGAGCTCTGTCGGCGCTGGCTGAGGCCAGAGGTGCACACCAAGGAGCAGATGCTGACCGTGATGCCCAGGGAGATCCAGGCCTGGCTGCAAGAACACAGGCCCGAAAGCAGTGAGGAAACAGTGGCCCTGATGGAAGACTTGACCCAGACCCTTCGGGACAGTGGTGAGATGCTGAAATTCACAGGGAGAAGGTGGGGGCCCCCTCTGAGGTCGAGGAGGTCAAGGTGGGATCCAGGACAAAGTTGGGGCCAGCCCCATGTCTCTGTGCTGTCTGTGGAAAATCGGCACGTTGTCACTTTTATTTTATTTATTTTGGTTTTTGTTCATCTCATCCGAGGATATTTTTTCTATTGATTTTTATTTTTATGTTTTTAAAAATATATTTTATTAATTTTTTACAGAGAGGAGGGGAGAGGGATAGAGAGTTAGAAACACCGATGAGAGAGAAACATCGATCAGCTGCCTCCTGCACACTCCCTACTGGGGATGTGCCAGAAACCAAGGTACATGCTCTTGACCAGAATCGAACCTGGGACCCTTCAGTCCGCTGCTATCCACTGAGCCAAACCAGCTAGGGCACATTGTTACTTTTTAATTTTTTAAAATATATCTTTATTGATTTCAGATAGGGAGAGGGAGAAAGATAGAAACATCAATGATGAGAGAGAATCATTGATCGGCTGCCTCCTGCAGGCCCCCCACTGGGGATCAAGCTCACAACCTGAGCATGTGCCCTTGACTGGAATTGAACCTGTGACCCTTCAGTCCGAAGGCCGACGCTCCGTCCACTGAGCCAAACCAGCCAGGGCACATTGTCATTTTTTTTTTTTTTTTTTTTTTAGCCTACAGCACCCAGACATTGTCACTTTTTTAAAGTCTTTGGGTGCAGTGAAAGTTCCAGATTTTCAGTGCGGAACTGAGTATTCTTGGAACTGTATGTGCGTAGCAAGCCTGGTTTTTACTTCTGTGTTGATTCTGAGTGGTTGGGAAGCTGAAGGAGGCTTGGGGGAGGGGCTGATGAGCCTATAAATCACTCCTTGGAACCTTCACTTGGTTGTGCAATGAACACCCGAATGTGTGACGTTCCAGCAGCTAGAAAAACAAATCCTAGTTTTAAAAAGTGATTATTTTTTATGAATCCAAGATGAATGGCGAATAAACCAGGGGCTTTTCTGTGGCACAGATTCACGGTGGGCTCTCATAAGAGGAATCACAAACGTGAGTTCATTGCAACCGTTAATATATTTGTCTCCTGACTCTGCCTCCGCCGTCCTGCTCCTCACTTGTCAACTGGACTCCCTTGATCTCCAGATATTTACTTCCCATCCACGGGTGCCCCCAGCACTGCTTCAGGGCCCACGGGAGACAGCTGCCGGGTGTGATGAGAACTGTGGGAGGAGGGGCAAGGCCAGCGAGGCTTTCTGGAGGAGGTGGAACCTGAGCAGGAGTTGCAGGCTGGGGTCGAATTTGGAGAGGCGCAGGGCAGGCGGAGGGTGGCATCCGAGAGGAGCTGTGCGAAGCAGAGGCTCGGAAGGGTGGACCGGCGTGGCATAGTTCAGGTGACGGTGAGAAAGGCGGGCTGAGGAGAGTGGAAAGGGTGTGTTTTGGAAGTGGTAGGAAGTAGGGTGTGGGGGAAGGGTTGGCCTTCGCAGGTTCTTGAAGTGGGGCCCAAGGGGCAGGGGAGGAAGCCGAGTTTGGCAACAGGATGTGGGTTTGATTAGAGTAGGGAGAGGCTGGAGGCAGGAGAGCAGCCAGGAAGCCACTTAACTTAGACATCA